TGGTCAAAGTAACCCAGAGAACAAACAAATAAGAACTCCAAAACCCTGGTCAGGATTCGATCAAATCTGCTAGTCAAACTGCAAGGGGGGGCTTCCCTGGTGGTGCAGTGGTTGGGAGTCTGCCTGCCGATGCGGGGGACGCGGGTTCGTGCCCCGGTCCGGGAAGATCCCACATGCCGCGGAGCGGCTGGGCCCGTGAGCCATGGCCGCTGGGCCTGCGCGTCCGGAGCCTGTGCTCCGCGGTGGGAGAGGCCACAGCGGTGAGGGGCCCGCGTACCGCAAAACAAACAAACAAACAAACAAACAAAAAATGCAAGGGAACTGCTGAATACAGAGGCTGCACTGACTATAGATTAGGCTGCACTAATCTACCCTTAGGTAGATTTTTTCTTCAAAGTCTTCTATTCCTCTGGGGCAATACTAAGAGATAAAAAGGTACAACACATACTTCTAGGATCAAGCTGCTGCCCAGGAAATGGAGAACCTAGGCAGCATGGTCAGTCGTCTTGCCAGATCCATTGCCTCTGCAGCAGCTTCTCCATAAGTTAACTTCTTAAGAGCAATTAATTTACATCCCCACTTCTTAGATCTACTGGGCAGTGCACTTCTGACATATGTGCACAACACAAGAGTTGTGATTCAATTAAAATATGAAGTAAATACAATACCCTTTGGGAGAGCTATGCATTCAGAAGGAAATTTTGTTTCCAGAAATGATTTTGAGAGGAATCCTCTACTTCACATCTTCAGCATTCTGCTGTCAGAACTGTTCCCTTTGGAGAATATATGTGGGCTATGAAAGAATGTAGATCTTTTCTTGATTGAACTAATGATATGATTAGCAACTTTGTTTTCGATGAAACTACCAGATTTGTTCCAATCCACCATACTGTGTAAAAATCTTGTTTCAAGGACATTGCTTTTGGAAGCTAGAAAACAGAATCTAGTAATTAACTCGTGTTTTAGCATAAATGGCCATAGCCTGAATGAATTCCCACACCCACACAAGCTCCCAAATAGATCATAGATCATACAATTAATATTACAAAATGGCCAACTATATGTTTCTCTTGGCCAGGATGCCCTGCCTCTTTGTTTGCACTTCTCTGAAAGTGTCTCTAGTTAGCTAGTAAGGTTTTGTGAAATTTTCAAAACAAATTCTATGTTACTTTCCTCCCCTGCAAAAATATAGGTATGCACCCTTTGTTACTGGAAGGGTTGCACATGGTAGAGAAAGAGGATCTAACAGAATCCAGTAAACAATGATGTTTTGCAAATCCTGAAAGTTTGACTTCCTATAGCGCTTTAATATCTGGGTGACTCATTTGGCACCTAATACAGTGGCTGGGACTGGATTAAACTGTTTCACATATGTGTGCTTTGTCTCCCACCACTCTAATCATTTGCTGCTGGAGCAGCAGCATGGCCTAACTTTTCTTTTGTAAAATGGTATAACCACTTTGGAGTATAGTTTGGAAGATTCTTAAAAAGTCAGATAATCCTGGAGAAAAAAAAAAGACAGTAAGTAAAAACTAAGGCCATTTGAATGAAGTATTGACTTTAGTTAATAATAACGTATCAATTTTGGTTCTTTAATTGTAACAAATGTACCATAGTAACTTAAGATGTTAATAACAAGAAAAACTGCCTCTTTTGCCATGTGAGGACACTGAGGGTACAGTAAGAAAATGGCCATCTATCAACCAGGAAGTGAGCTCACATCAGCCATTGAGTCTGCTGGTGCCTTGATTTTGGACTTCCCAATCTCTAGAACTGTGAGAAATAAATATTTGTTGTTTAACCCACCCAGTCTATGAAATTTATAGCAGCTGAACAGAATAAGACACTATCTTTACAATTTTTATGTAAATCTAAAATTATTCTAAAAAGTAAAGATTTTTTTAAAAAAGCTTTAAAAGGAACTAAAACAGTTAAATGTACACTTACTATCAAATTCATCCATTCCATGTCTAGACATTTATCCAGGAATAAAGGAAATATATATGCATGCAAAGATGCATACATGTATGTTCATAGCAGCTTTATCTGTAATAGCCCTCAAACTGGAAACAACCCAAATGTCAATCAACAAGTGAATGGATAACCAAATTGTTTATATCCATATAATGGAATAATACTGAGCAATAAAAAAAAAGAATGAACTGCTGATACTTGTAACAAGACAGATGAATCTCAAAATAATTGTGTTTAGTGAAATAATCCAGACAATAAAAGAGCACGTACTGCATGATTCCATTTATATAAAACTCTATAAAATGCAAACTGATTTATAGTGACAGAAAGATAAGTGTTGTTTTGAAAGAAGGGCAGGAGGGGGGCATTAGCAAGGAGCACCAGGAAACTCGTGGGTAATTTATATGTTCATTATCTTCATTATGATGATGGTTTCATAGGTGGATACATATATCAATCAGCCCTTACAGATTATACACTCTAAATTGTGTGTTTATTGTATGTCAATTATGTGCCAATAAACCTGTTTATTTTTTTAAAAATCCAATTAGTCATGTATAGGAAAAGGGAAATAATTATCTTAGGCTCATATAACTACTAACTTTGATCATTAAACATAGCTCTGAGCTTTTTGGTAGTGGAAATTTTGCTTCTTTGTACCACTGTACCTACCACTGGCTGTTTGGGGACCAGTTTCTTTCTCTGAAAAATGACGAGTGACCCTTAAAGTCTTTTACAGGCAGATATATTGAGAATAATTCTAAACATGTATCTTCTGAAATAAGTTAATATAAATTCATTTGCATTAATTTCATAAACCTTAACTTGAAATTGGCTAATAAAGTGATACCTATTAGGAACCTTAAAGATTAAATGGGAATTAATAGTTAAGAACTATTTGTAAGTAGTATACTGATTATTTTTTTCTGAGTATCTTTTTATGTCAGGCAATCAGTTAGAAGTATTTTTTAAAAAATAGCTTTATTGAGATATCATTTACATACCATACAATTCATCCATTTAAAATGCACAATTCACTGTTTTTTAGTATATTCACAAGTATGTGCAACCATCAGCACAGTCAATTTTGTAACATTTTCATCACCTCCAAAAGAAGCCTTAGACTCAAAGGGCATAGAGATTCCTCTTGGGGTGATGAAAAATTTCTAGAACTAGATAGTGGTGGTGGTTGCACAACATTGTGAATGTATTAAATGTTACTGAATTGTACACTTTAAAATAATGCATTTTAGATTACAATATTGTATCCAGCACACCAAAACCCACTCCATAAAACTTACCCATATACTCTAGGTACTTACCCTTATCGCTCCATTCTCCCAGCTCTAAGCAAATACTAGTATACTTTTGTCTCTATAGATTGGCCTATTCTAGGCATTTCATATAAATGAAATCATATAATATGTGGTCTTTTGTCACTGACTTCTTTCACTGAGAATGTTTTCAAGGTTCATCCATGTTGTAGTGTGTATCACTATCTCATTTATTCCTTTATATGGCTAAACACTATTCCACTGTATGAATACATCACATTTTATTTATCCATGCATCAGTTAATGGTCATTTAGGCTGTTTCCACCTATTGTCTATTATGAATAATGCTACTGTGAACATTTATATACAAGTTTTTGTGTGGATATATGTTTTGATTTCTCTTGGTTATATACCTAGGAAGGGAATTGCTGATAACTCTTTGTTTAACCATTTGAGGAATTGCAGAAAGTGGCTGCACCATTTTACACTCCCACCAGAAGTGTATGAGGGTTCCAATTTCTCTGCATCCTCGTCAGCACTTGTTGTAATCTGACATTTTGATTATAGCCATCCTAGTGAGTATGAAGTATTGGCCAAAAAGTTTGTTGGGGTTTTCCATACCATCTTACAGAAAATCCCGAACGAACTTTTTGGCCGACCCAATATTATCACATGGTTTTGATTTATCTTTCCCCGATGACTAATGGTGTCAGGTACATTTTCATGTACTTTTCTTCCTAGAAATATGCTCATATAGAGAATATTTTGCATAAACTCTCAGGGGGTTCATAGACCCTCAAAGATATGTACCCCTAGGGGGGAGTTATTACATGGACACATGAAGAAAAACTGTCATGGTAGTTATTATAAATTATACCTAATCATAGTAAATAATATAATGTGTACATTTTTCTTTTAAACTGCTCTATATTTAATAAGAAAAATAAAAGAACACATTTTAACATTAGTTGCACTGAAATACTGGTTTGATTTCTATTTCATGATTCTTAATAGCGGTGGAGGGGGAGGGGTCCCAATTCCTATTGGAGTGAGAAAAGTACATTATATATCACCATTTCTGAAATCAAAGGGTAACCCCATAGACTGAGGTAGAAAAAATTACCTATCTCTTATTTGTACAATGTGGTCATATACATAGGATTAGAAAACCAATAGAATAGATATCTATATACCAGGGAGGTATCTGTGTAACAGGAGAGTGAAAAGAGGTCTAGGCAGGTACTAACCTGAAAGTCACTTTCAGGATGAGCAGTGGGTACTGGGAAAAAGAAACACTATTCAACAAGAGTCAACAGTTATTTTGGCGAGTACTGGCTTACTACTGCCACCACAGCTTTATACTTATGACATATGAAAGTTGTCTGTTCCCAGGGAGTAAATGAGCATTTGCCCTGTGGTCTGAAGAGTCACCTACAAAGTTTGGATCTTTGCTGGGACTAGAGAAACAGTGGCCTAAGCTTTGAAACCTTAAAGGAATTTGCTTAGGCAGCTTTGAGGGAATCATTATACCCCATGGTATATTCTTAGAACCTGAGAAAACTTCCTTATATTGGAAGCTTATACATTAGCATTTCTTAAGACAGTCAGCCTCATTCTCTCCACCAGATCAGCTTTTAGAAAATGGAATGATTTGGAGTTGCAATTAAAATCCCAGGCAGAAGCTCTTCTAGGATGTTCCATTGCTTAACTGCAAACACAGCAAAGAAAAGTAAGCAATTCAAGTTCTGTACCTTATTTCACCTTCTCTAATGTGACCTGCCAGTTCCTCAATAAACTTCTCCCCTTTCATCCAGTAGATCATTGGTCCGGACTCTCCACTGAATCCAAAGAATGCTTTGCAAGCGATGTTCAGAGGCTTACCTGAGAATGACAGAGAAAAAAATGAGCAAATGGCTCTGGTTATCATTGGAAGACAGAAAAGGACCATTTAACATCCAAAGGAAAACTCAGAAGTGACCCATTTATAACTCTTCTTCCAATCACCTTATCACTGCAAATGAGAACATTTTAAAATAGTTACAAGGGCCTCTGGGAAATTTTAAAATTCAATATATTATCAAAAATGAGAAAGTAAAGAAAGTTACTAAGTTTTTAGAACTGCTTATTTTTACTGCCTCCCTCCTAGGAACTAATATGAAAGAATCATATGGAAGGAACCCTCTTTTATTTTCCTTTTTTGAGCATATTAATAACTGCTTACTTGGACTTACCTTTGAAGTTAACATTAATCAAAGTATAAGTTAATTTTTGATTTGTGAGAAAATATATAATAGACTATCCACTATTACTAAGATTGCATAGAGAAATTTTGTTAATTCTGATTATTGTATATTCTGAGAAAAATTGGATAATTAAAATCAAATAAGAATTTTATAATTATAAGAATATCTATAGAAAGTACATGCAGTGAAAACTCAGTCTAACCATATCTTCGATATTCCTTGTGTCACCTACAGAACTTAAATAATTCTAGGCAATACTGCAGTTTTTTACTATGCATCTTGCTGATTATAGCTAAAAACTTTGTTTTAATTATGAACTTATCATCAAATATATAAGCAATTTTTTTTTGCTGGCGTTGATTTTATTTTCTTCTTACAAAGTACATCAGTAAGGGAAGAATGGTATAGAGAGTACAATCTTGACATTTCTGACAAAGGAATCCCCTAATTCATAAATCATAATATAACATATCATTTTCTCTATAACATGTAATTTTTGCCCTGGTTGGAGCACTAGATAAAGCAATTTCAAAAATATTTTTTTCCTTGTATAGTACATGGTGAAATTGTTCCCATTATAACTCTGAGCTGTGTAAAATTTCTCCTTTCTATTCTTAAATTGATCCAAAACTTCCATGTTCTAAGAACCATTACTTTTTGGGAACCTTTCTATTTAATCACCATAACTAGCAGATGGCTTGCTTTGAGGACCATTTTCACCAAGAAACAATTTTAATTGGAGTTAGGGTCTACATTGAGACTGTGGAAATTAAGAAAACCTCATAGACATATGGATGCTGGGTGATAGGCTGGGCTTAACCACAATAAGTGCTACCAAATATTGGTCTTTTTATAGTGTAAATTTCTCTCTCAGCAAATGACTTGTCATGGACCTTTGGGATCATTCAATTACTCTCAAAAGCTTTGATATCAACAGTCTTTCATATATGTCATGCTAATCTGAAACAAGGTTATTCATTGTTTCTTTGAACATGTGTTTTGTGATACAAACTTGTCTAAAAAATGGAAGACAGCCTTGTATAGCTAAGAGATGTGGGTCCTTGTTTTGGATCTATCATTAAAAAGTAGACTCTCTGGCCCTGCGTACATTACCTAACCTTTTACAAACTGATTTCTCATATATGTAATACGGATGGTAATAATACTTTGGATGCTCAGATAAGACAATATCTACAAAAGTGCTTGGTGAACGTGCAAGTCCCATCCAAATTTAGCATGGTTGTGTTTTCCTTCCAAGGCTTGGTCTTTCAAAAAGTCAAGTTTGAGGCATAATTCTATAGATGTAATGAGATAGATAACTGTTCATTTTGATTCTGCCAATCTCATGTCCTTCTTTTACTTATGAGTGCCTATGGGGTAATATCCTTTTCTTATCAATGCTCTATAAATATTTCCCAGATTCTAGAGTAGGTGTGATTCATCCAAGCAGGCCCTGTGTTCTCTAAACCCGAACACAGGGTCTTTTTATGCCTTACTGCTCTTCATTCCCATGAAACTAAAGGTATTACAGAATGTCAACCTAGATGGCAAAAGATCCAGAGACTGTGATAAACATTATTATAAGGATCCCAGTTGCTAAAACTACCAGTATATACATTTATACAAATAAATTCTGGTTGTCATTCCTTTGGGCTATGTTGAAAGAATATATCAAATAAAATACCTTTTAGTGATTCCTAGCATGTGGGTACTCAGGCCTGGTTTGATTTTAATGGAAAAAGACGATTATAGCGATGTGCAAAAAGGTGCCTCCCTGAGGTGGTCTATCAAAAATGACAGCATCTGCCCTTTCCTTGGCACTACACAATGGGTACTGACTATTGCAGCGATTTCTCCTGGGAATGTTTTTACTCTCCTATCAGACAGGTTTTGCTAAATAAATGCAAGAGACATATTTCAGCAGTCTAGTTTCTACAAATGCTGAACAAATATCCTGAAGCCTTTGTCAACGGCTAAAACAGGAAGATGGTTCAATCATCATACGCAGTACTCTGAGGAGAGTCCCAAAATGATCAGCTCTTGCGCCAGATAGTAAGAATCAATGTGTGCCACGTTGTGAATACCTCTTCTTTCAAAAGGCCTGGGAGGGATCTCAGCACTGATTGAGCAAATAACCTGAAACAGTCTCTCCAGGTTTTTCTAAAATCTGGCTTACATGCATGTGCAAACTCCTATCTACCATTTGTATCTGTTTGCTATTGTATTGTTTTGCCTCCAGATGTTTTCAAAGTCATTCCTATGGTACTGTATATCCTACTAGTAGAGATGACCAACTCATATTTGTATCTAAAAAGGATTGTACAGTAGGTTAAAGACTATCAAAATAAAAATAACTTTGCGAGCTTCTCAGTGTTTTGTGCTATTTACAAGGTAACAGCTTTAGACATAACTCCCTTTTAGGTTCAGTCTGTATTACTAGCAATTTCTCTATCACTTTATTAAGTCTAGACCAGTCAATAAAACATATGTTCATACAAAGACTTATATATGAATGTTCATACCAGCTTTATTTGTAATACCCCAAAACTGGAAATAGTCCAAATGTTCATCAACAGGTGAAGGAATACTCTGGTACATCCATATAAAAAATATTCATCAGGTATGAAAAGGATGAAGTACTGATACATACCACAACATATGATTTTTGAGATTTAAAGCAATTATACTAAGTTAAAGAGGTCAAACAAAAGAGTACATGCTTTATGACTCAATTTATATAAAATTCTAGGAAGTTAAAATTAATCTATAGTTTCTTAAAAAGTTGAACATCTGCCATGTGATCCAACCATTCCATATGAAAGCCTATGTCTATATAAAGACTTGTACACAAATATTCATATCAGCTTTATTTTTTCAATTGAGGTATAATTGACATATAATATATTAGTTTTAGGTAATAATACAATGATTTGATATTATATATTGCAAAATGATCACCAAAATAAGTCTAGTTAACATGTCACCACACATAGTCATGAATTTATTTTTTCTTGTGATGAAGGCTTTTACGATCTACTCTCTTAGCAACTTTCAAAATGCAATACAGTACTAACTATAGTCACCATGTTGTACATTATATCACCATGACTTATTTACTTTATAACTGGAAGTTTGTAGCTATTGACCTCTCATTTTGCCCACCCACCACAAACCCCACCTCTGGCAACCACCAATCTATTTTTATCTATGAGTTTGTTTTATGTTTACTTATTTGTTTGTTTTAGATTCCACATATAATTGAGGTCATACAGTATTTGTCTTTGTATGACTTATTTCACTTAGCATAATGCCCTCAACATCCATCCATGTTGTTTCAAATAGTGAGATTTCATTCTTTTTCATGGGTGAATGATATTTCATTACACACACACACACACACACACACCACCTTTTCTTTATCCATTCACCCATTGATGGACACTTAGGTTGTTTCCATATCTTGGCTATTGTAAGTAATGCTCCAATGAATATGGGGGTGCAGATACCTTTTTGAGCTAGTGTGTTCATTTTCTTTGGATAAATACTCAGAGCGGAATTACTGAATCATATGGTAGTTCTATTTTTAATTTTGAGAAAACTCCATACTGTTTTCCATATAGTGGCTACACTAATTTATATTCCTACCAACAGTGCACAAGGTTTCCCTTTTTTCCACATCCTCACCGACACTTGTTATTTGTTGTCTTTTTGATAATAGCCATTCTAACAGGTGTGAGGTGATCTCATTGTGGTTTGATTTGCATTTCTCTGATGATTATTTCATGTACCTGTTAGCAATCTGTTGATTATCATTTCATGTACCTGTTGGCCATCTGCATGTCTTCTTTGGAAATATGTTTGTTCAGATCTGCCCATTTCTAAATCAAGTTTTTTTTTTTTTTTGGTTTGGTTTGCTATTGAGTTATATGTGTTCTTTATATATTTTGGATATTTACCACCTATCATATATATGATTTGCAAATATTTTCTCTTATTCAGTCAGTTGCCTTTTCATTGTTGATAGTTTCCTTTACTGTGCAAAAGCTTTTTTGTTTGATGTAATCCCATTTGTTTATTTTTGTTTTTGTTGCTTTTGGTTTGGAGTCAGATTTTAAAAATCATCTCCAAACTAACTGATATCAAGGAGTTTACTGCCTATGTTTTGTTCTAGGAGTTTTATAGGTTCAGGTGTTTCATTCTACTCTTTAATCCATTTTGAGTTAATTTTTGTATATGGTATAGGATATTCATCCAGTTTCATTCTTTTGCATGTGGCTGTCTAGTTTTCCCAATAACATTTATTGAAGATACTGGCCTTTCCTCATTGTATATTTTTTGACTCCTGTGTCATAAATTAATTGACCATATATGTGTGGGTGTATTTCTGGGCTCTATATTCTGTTCCATTGATCTATGTGTCTGTTTTTATGCCAGTACCATACTGTTTTGATTACTGTAGCTTTGTAATACAGTTTGAAATCAGGGAGTATGATGCCTCCATATTTGTTCTTCTTTCTAAAAATGTTTTGGCTATCTATGTCTTTTATTGTCCCATACAAATTTTAGGATTGTTTATTCTATTTATGTGAAAAAATGCCATTGCCATTTTGATAGGGATTGTATTGAATCTGTAGATTG